TATATGTCAATATGCAGGCAAAGCTACAGTGTAAGAATGGCAATGGAATTCTTCTGACCTGAGCTCCTCAACAATGCAACATACACTGAAGCAAAAATATAACGCAACACTTGTTTTGCTTCATTTTCTTCAATGAGATGAACTAAGATCTAAAACATTTTCTATTTATCACAAATAACTATTTCTCTTGCAATATTTGTTCACACGTCACAAAATCTGAAAAATCTGTGATACGTGAGCACTCTCCTTTGCCGAGATATCCATCCACTCACAGTGTGGCGCATATCAAGATGGCTGTTAGACAGCTGATTATTGGGGACAGGTGTGGGCCTTAGGGTTGACGGGTTGCGTAATGTTGTGAATCGAGTGGCCCATGGTGGTGGTGGGGTTATGGTATGGGCAGGCGTATGTTATGGACGACGAACACAGGCCACTCGATTCACAACATTACCCTAATCCTAACCCTAACCCTAACCCTCACACCAGATACTGACTGGTTTTCGGACCCCCCCAGACCCCCCCAATAAAGCAAAACTGCACGTTTCAGACTGGCCTTTTATTGTGGCCAGCCTAAGGCACACCTGTGCAATAATCATGCTGTCTAATCAGCATCTTGATATGCCACACCTGTGAGGTGGGATGGATTATCTCGGCAAAGGAGAAGTGCTCACTATCACAGATTTTTTCAGATTTGTGAACAATATTTGAGAGAAATGGTTATTTTGTGTATTTAGAAAATGTTTTAGATCTTTGAGTTCATCTCATGAAAAATGGGAGCAAAAAAAAAAGTGTTGCATTTATATTTTTGTTCAGTGTATATAATAAAATACAAAATGAAAAGTAGTGCAAAAAGTCTATATATGTCAATAGAATATAGGATACGTGCAAGAAGAGAATATGAAATTAAATAATGTAAATGAAGACAAAGTTAAATACGGTTTAATGTGGTTAAAAACACACAGGAATGTTTATCGGGGCACTTAGCAGAGCTCAGGTGTTTAGCAGGAAATGATATATAAAGATTAACTGGTTTTTAACTTTCAAACACAAACATGTGGGTACAACCACAGCTACCTTGTCAGTCTTGTGAGCCAGCAGCTCTTTCTCCAGGCTGTCCCGCTGAGCGACGCAGAGCCGGAGCCGGTCCAGCTCCTCCTGGAACTGAGCGATGGTCACCTCCCGGTTCAGCTCCACCGCCTTCAGCATCTGCAGCTCCGCGCTCAGCTTGGTGTTCTCCAGCTCGGTGCTGCGCAGGTGAGCCTGCACATGGGACAACGCAGAGAGAAAGAGGTGCAAATGTCAGATTCAATGAGATGAGAATCACACAGGTATTTTTTTTATTTTTTTTATCATAATGCACATTTTCGTTGTTGAAGACTTTTAGGTACTAAACTTCTCCCACCTTGTAGAGGTCTCTCTCATCCTTCTCATTCTTCAGATGGCTCTCAAGGCTGTCTTTCTCTGCTGTCAGCTTCTTCAGGCGGTCACGCAGACTGTGACATAAAATGACAAAAGATTTGTACAGCCTGATCGTCTACCGAATTCATTGATTTATGCTTAAGAAAAGTATTTCCAATTTGTAATGTGTAAGTAATTATAGTCTTAAACTATTAACCACTACGCACTAAATGTCAGTAAAAAAAGATTTGCCTAGTGACCCCCCAAACCATCATTTAAGGGTGCTGAAAAAAGAATAAGCTGGAGGAAAAGTATAATTCAAAGTAAAATTCACGTCATAAATATCCCATCCTTGAGCTTATGTGTCTATTTAATCATTATTTTTGAGGCTGTGTTTTGTATTACTTTTTAGACAACAGGACTGATGAACACGTTTGGGAAGCAGAAGGCAGACAAGAAACCTTCCCTTTACAGTCATGTCTTCGCCGAAATGAAGCGCTCGAATGATTTATGGTCACGTGTTCCACTCTGCTCACCAATCGAGTTCGGTCTCCTTCTGCAGGCTTCTCTGGGTGACTCCCAGCAGATCCTCCTCCAGCTGCCGGACCCGCTCTGTGGCCTCTGACAGCCTCCTCCTCACCTCCTCCCTCTCCTCTGACAGGCCCTGCGATGAGCGCAGCAGCTCCTGCGGGACAGAGAGGCAGCTGCGGCTGTGAGTGACAGGCGCTGCAGCCAATCATAGCGGCTAAATCAGCAGGCTAACAAAGTCTGGAACTGATGCAATACTCGGGATTAATGACAGATGGTTATATTTCATGTGACAAACAACTGTCATGTTGCAAAGAAAATATTATTTTTATATAATTAATATACGTTGTATGTTTGCTTTTATATGTTTTTATGCACAATGCATTCATGCAAAAAAGAGAGTAATGACATGATAGACACAATGACAGTTGAAAATAAATGTGTTTTACTGTTTCACATGTGTAATATTCCTCTCATGACATGCAAGAAAAAAAAAGTTCTCACGGTTGTTTGGACGTTGACAGGGGTATTTTTGGAAAGGTGTCGTAAAAAATAGGCAAATATGTAACCTCACAAGTTTTGTATGCGTTCTGTCAGTTTAAAATGTTAATTATTTAGCGCTCTCCACACACCTATGTTTTCAGCACATCTTAGGCGAGGCTACAGAAAAAAACTAGGAGGCAATGGCTCACAGTGGCTGACAATGAGGAAATGAGGTTGCCAGGCACCTAGTGCCAGTCAAGTGTTTGTGTTTTCTTCTGTTCCTACATGTGAGGCACTTGTAAGACATCTGATTTGTATGTCTCACTTGGATGAGTCAAAGAAAACATCATAGAGGCTTTAACCATTCCTAGAAGAAGCTGATCTTGGTTTAGATCCAGGTTCAGAAACCACTGGGAAGAAAGCCTACAAATCAATGATGAATTGCAGTTTTTTTAATCTTTTGAGTCTTCTTTTCTTTCATTATTGCTACGGATCCCCTTGTGAATATGAATGTAATTTGTACCCACATTGATTTTATTAGATATTTGAAGTATGCTAATAAAATGTAAGTAGGTTTCAATGTTATTTTTTTGTTGAATCTGTTTTGGATTGGACTTATATTTGAGATATGTTTACCTACAATTATCTCTAAAATATTGTAAAGTCTATTAGTTCGTTTGAAATATTATTCCAACAAATCTCCAGTTACAAATTACAGTATGACTGAAATGAGCCTTGTGATGGACACAGAACACACACCCAGTATTTGAAAGCAGTACATGGTAAATGTATGCAAATAACCTGTCTATTATCAATGGATTACTTAAGACAAATTCCTGGTGCAGCTGATCAAATGAGGTCTGTTTCCTCCGTGTGATGTGACTGCTGAGCCGAAGCCCTGTTTGAACTTGCTGCTAATCAGCAGTGAAGGACGTTAAATCATCCATAGCTCATATCGGTTGTGACAGAACAACATTCTTCTGCACACACCTTCCTTTCTAGTTGTCGCTTCCACATTCTTACTCACGCTCACACACATACACAATTACAGGAAGACACACAGCTGCACATTCAAGGACGTATGGAGAGAGACAGATAGCTCGGAGAACCGCCATCAATCTAAAACAGACATGCACACATCAATGCACACTCAGGCCTCACTCCCTCTGGGCTTGGCCCGTCGATTACTGTATGATTTTTACGGCTGGCGTTTGGGAAGCACTTTAGCAGTGCATAAAGACCTTATAAAAAGTGTACTCGTAAAATTAGCAGCCACAAAATATGTACTTATGTTTTCATGTTAAACTGGGGATATTTTCATCAGCGTGGGCAGGAGCTAACGCACCTACTGTAAAAGCTCTACAAAGAGACACACACCTACTCAGAGAAGTCGTATATCTACAGATGGACAAGCCTGTTGAATGAAAAGCAGCGTGGTAATAACAGTGTGTGTGTGTATTACCATGTAATTTATGGCGATTTTGTCGTTCGTAAAAGAGCGGACTAACTCAAAGCAGCCTGGCCTCACTCTGAGCTTTTACCGGAGAGATGCACTAGGGGGCGATAAAAGACTACATTCAAACTCAGAAGTATTGGCATCCCTCCCTCCTTCTGCCACCCCTCTTCTGTTTCCTTGAGTTGAATGGTTTTTAGGTGTGTGTGCCAAGATACTGCTTATCATGTGCGACTCATAACATATTGACATCTGACTCATCCTGGTGAGTGACAAGGAAATGGACTAAACAACTATGTGAAAAGATGAAGTAATTTAAGAAGTCAATTTAGTTCAACTTTCATTTATGTTTCCAAATGTATCCCCCCCCCCCCTTTTTTATGTGGCTTTTGCTCTAATGCCAACAAAACAACTCTAAATTGAGACAACAAATGTGTAGAGAGACAGACAGGCAGATAGACAGAGGGAGAGAAAATAGACGGTGAGAAAGCAGTGGCCACTGAATCGCGTGACTGAGTGGTGTTTGTCCCTGAGGCTGGGCAGGGCTTTTTTTTCAAGCAGGCGGTTTTGCGGACTACCCTCCTCTCATTCCACACACAGACTAAAAGCGTTTGCAAGCGGGTGGCATAATGAGTGTGTTTGTGTGCGTGTGTGCGTCTGGGCATGTGTGAATGCACATTAGAGGGGCCCCGTGGTGTGGAACCTGAATGTGAGTGTGAGAGTGAAGGGGGGGGGTCAGTGGGTGTATGCATATGAGCCCGAGTGTGTGTGTGTGTGTTTCTGTTTGTGCGTTTGACGTCATGTTTGTTCACTTTGTGGTTGCGATGGCATCGTCCCTGACGCCAGATGCCGAGAAAACTCAGTCCCAATTCCGTTCAGGCCCACTGACTCAGGTCGTTAAAGAAAGACTGACACACACACACACACACACAGTGTGTGTCTCAAACATGGACACAGATTATTCATAAATTCGGGCCTTTGAAGTTTTCAGACCTGTGATCACTGGTGAGGAACCGGCTCCGCACAAGTGTGCAAATAGAGACTGTCCGTCTGCGTACACACGCGTACACACACACGTACACACACACACACACACACACACACACACACACACACACACACACACACACACACACACACACACACACACACACACACACACACACACACACACACACACACACACCGTTTCAACCCAGACACACACTAACTTCCAAATACACACATGTGCAAACACACTGAAACTCACCTCAAGCCTCAAGAGCTATTTTTGCGGTATTCTCTTTCCCCAATTTGTGCAATCATTGAAAGAATGCAAGTTTATTTTACTTTATGAATTAAAGCGAGAGATAATTTTTGTACAAATTAAGGTTAATTAGATGATGATGGGCCCTATGATATATGGAGGGGGTTTACTGGAGCAGGCATGTAGAAATGTGTGTAGAACAGGGCATTGCTTAAGGATTTCATCTTAGGCTCAGTCTTGTTCCTTTTTGTTTGTTAAAAAAGAAAATGAATCATCTGAAATAAAGGGAAAGGTATCTTCTACTGTGGCATTGGAATTAAATGTATAATAATGCATTTAAAAACGATATCTGCTATATCTATACCAACAAAAAAGCATGACTTCCTGCCCCCACTGTCTCTGACCTGGTTGTGTGTCCGCAGCAGGCAGCATGTGTCCCTCTCCTGCTCCCTCTCCCTGGACAGTCTCCTCTGCTCCTCCTGCAGCTGCTGCTTCTCCTCCTGCAGGAGACGCATGGTCATCAGCAGCTCCCTGCGCTCCTGCTGCACGTCCTCCACATGCTGCACACAGGAGGAGGTTAAAGGTAGAGAGAAAGAAGGTGAGGATAGTACGCAAGAGGATAAGGGCCACATGAGAAAATGTTTTGGGATGTGACCAAAAGTCTCAGAATTCTGAACTAAAATCAGAAAGTACAAATATTTGTCTTACTTTGGGTCACATCCTAAAATATATTTCTCATGTGGCCCTAATCCTCTTCTATAGGATACCGGCTTATTCAATATGTATTTTTGTTACGGTAAGTTTTGTGTCCTTTTAATTCCCCTGTCTTGGGAGAGTTTGTGTCATTTTCAAAAATACTAGTTAAATGTATTAAGTCACATTGTAATATTTTAAATGAAATGTGTATGATATATTGTAGGATGTATCTATGGCTGTCTAGAATAATAAATTATCAATCATAATGACATTAACGGGATTCATTCTCCTCAGTGAGGTCAAAGGTCACACTACAAAGCAGAACTTTTAGATCTGGTATTGATCTAGTACTCTGCCTTTTAACAAAATCCAAGAGCGTTGAATAATATAAAAGTAAATATCTCCTTCTCTTGATTCATACCTCTAGAAGGCCAGTCTTGGTGGTGACGACCAGTATGTCTGAGTTGCTGTCGTCCTCGGTAACAGTCAGAAGCTCTTCTGTAGGTGTGGCTGACCTGAACTGGAAAGGCGTACTCGCTCCTCTAATGTCGCCAACGTGTGTGACGTAACAAAACTGGTAGAACTCTCCGTCAGATTTAGGAACATAATAACCTATAAAAAGACAAGAGTGAGTTTTCTCTTATTCCATTTTATTATTCAAATATATAATAATAATAATAATATAAAAAACAATAATGGTTATATGATTGAACAAGAAAAAACCAGCAAATAAAATAAAGTAAGCAAATTAGAGATGTTGAAAATAAAACAATAATTTGAAATGATTTAATTGAATCAGGTAGTTTTTTAAGTATGTCTGGTCAAACAAAATCTAAAACATCTATACTGGAAAAAGAGAAAACACTGCAAAAAAACCAGGCACAGCACAGCGACCGACAAATGCATTGAATAATATTCAAATAATTCAATATGTGAAACATTATTACAGGACTAAGCTTCAAGCAGCCCATAGCTCGACTGTAAGCGCTCACTGGATCACATCCTTCACATGTTGGGCCTGTTTCTCTGCAGCAGAGTAAGAGCAGAACATCCGGCAGCCAACCGGTTTTACTGACTACTGACACACCACAGCACACTCTCCTATTTTCACTATGTAATATCTGACCGTTCCAGGCCCAGTAAAACCAGTTTTGCAGGCCCTCAACCTGTGTGTGTGTGTGTGTGTGTGTGTGTGTGTGTGTGTGTGTGTGTGTGTGTGTGTGTGTGTGTGTGTGTGTGTGTGTGTGTGTGTGTGTGTGTGTGTGTGTGTGTGTGTGTGTGTGTGTGTGTGTGTGGTTTGAGTGGTGCTCAGGTCCCAGGCCGCTGTTTGCGGTTGTGTTCCCTTATTAAATAAAAGAGTTGGTTTTTATACGCGCTGTAAAATGGAGGAGTCACTCGTAGGAATATCGTAGGCCTGTATAGTGATTTTCAGTGTGTGTGTGTGTGTGTGTGTGTACCTTGAAACACCAAAGTACTGTGCACTGTACTTCCTGGTTCGTAGTTCTCGGGCATTGGAGACCAAAGGAAGGTGTAGTAATCTCTCGCTGTGCTCCAACCCACCTAGGGACGTAAATAAACGGCAACGGAAATGTTAATCGACAACAAAAAGTAGTGCCCGACTTGTCGTCTTCTGTTGGGGGAATAGTTATAGATGTTCTTTAAAACCTACATTTGTAATAGACAGATGAGGTTTTATTATTTTGTCATCATCAGATTTCAAAAACTCATTGAATGAAAAAAGATGGTGGATTACACACAGTGTTTGAGGCAAGAATGGAAACATTTAAAATCCATGCCCCCTGACTCTTTCACACAACCCTTCCTCCTCTCCTTCCCCGCAGTTCCTTCCCCTTTTGGGCTCAGAAAAAGAGGGCCAGTGAAGGTGTGAGAATGGGGAGGGAAGGCAGGGGTGTAAGTAGCTTTTCACACATGCGCAGACTCGTGAGACGCCAAAGAGCAACCCACGTGGAAATGAGAAGGGCGGAGAGGGTAAGAACGAGGGAAGAAAAGGTGAACATTTTACACAAAATGGCAAGGGAGGTGTAATTCTATGGATTTCATGTGTTGTTAGGTGACAGATGATGAAAGGGAGTTGTGAACATCATAACTCAGGTCCTGCGTCGTAAATCTGTCGCGCACAACCACACACTCTCCGTGTCTGGGCCGCTCACGCACACACGCTAAAAAACACACTCACACACACACCTCGTTTTAAACCCACATGTGCGTTACATGTTTGTGACATTGCATAACTGCACTTCAACTGTGGATAACTCAACCACCTGTGGCTCCATGGCACATTTTTTACATTTTAAAATGGAGACAAAGTGGCACAAGAGAAAGTTTCTCCTCTGGACAGCTGCCATACAGCAATTGTAATATATTACAGTCTAGGCAGTTGTGTGACAGTGGTATAGGAAATTATAGGACACACAACACAGTGGGAGGGATTGTAGATTAATAACAGTTTTTCTTAACCATGTTCCCATAAAAACATATATGGACTTAAATAAACAACTATCAATCAATTCCAAAACAAAGAAGAATTGCTCAACAGCTGACAAAGTGTCGAAGATTGAAACACAACAGTAAATCAACCGAGCCACTCAAAACATTTGTCATAATTTCAGGTGTGAAGACACTGTTCCAAGATACATAATTGGCTTGTGAGTCCTATCACGCCATTACACTCTCTATAATGCTATTCCAAACCGATGGTAATTGTCCGCTTGGAAACCTGGGCCAAGGACATTCTTTCCAAATCCAACAGCATCTCAGTGAGAGGGGAAGCTGCGATGGACACCTGCCAAGTTTGCTTGTGAGCTCACGTGTGTTTGCTTAGGAGAAAACAGACATAAATAATTTTGCTAATTGCAGAGTGAAGTTGACTGACATTTGGTCAGGTATGGTGTGGCATTCCAACACAGGAGTGATGTTATAAAATAATCACAGGCAGAGGAACTATCAATCACTCAGCCAAGGTGTGAGGGAACGGCCCGATGACACTTTAATTATACACTCACACAACGGGTTTCTCCCTGTCGACCGAACAAACATGCCACGACCAAAAACCTCCACAGGGCTTTTTAGGGAGTTGTGTGTGTTTCAAATATCAAACTTATGCTTTCACTGAAATAACAAAGAAGAACAAACATATTCATAGATAAAACAAAAAGACACTATGCTGGAAAACAGAAGAACACATGCCACGTTTGATTATATTATTCATGGTTGATGTTTATTTTGTATGCACTACTTGTTGTGAGTATTGTTTGAGGACACCATAAACTAGGTCCTCATTATTGTACTATTCACAATTTCAGCCACTAGGGGGTGTCTGTACACAACTTAAATGAGCCAGTCCTGCCTGTGCAGCCTGAGTCATCCTGTAGAGTCAGCTTTATTGCTCAGTCTCTCTCTGAAACGCATATGGATGTGAAGGGCTAAGAGGGAGAAAATGCTCTCTCCCTGAGTCATCTCTGCACATAGGTTTTGCCTCTGGGAGGAAAAAAGACTCAGCTGACAGAATGGCATCAGTCAAATCTAATCAATCACATTTAATAACTCCCTAACAAACTTCAAGCCAAGACATGAGATTTCATAGGATTTGTATTATTACAATGGTTAATATTCTATTATGATCAAAGTGTATGGTTATTATTTGTAAAAGCACACAGTTACAGTCCTCTTGATACATGCCGCCCTCATAAAAAGAGTAAATAATACCCATAGTAATGGTTCTTCCTAATACATCTAGAGCTGCAATGATTAAACAATTATATGTTGGTCCATTACATATTTACATTATGTCTCCGTAATGAGGGTGCACTGAGTATATCTAAGTATTCGACAAAGGATATTTAGAAGGTCCTGTTGGCTGGAAACACTAATCGCTGTTTTTCACCAAACAATAGGGGTGTAACGGTTCACAAACATTTCGGTTCCGTACATACCTCGGTTTTTAGGTCACAGTTCGGTACGTTTTCGGTCCAGCAGAAAAAATTATCACATAACATATTTTTTGTTTTTTTGTAATTATTATTAAAATTTGAATAATGTATTCACTCAAATAAATACAAAATATAACAAAATAAACATTAAGGTGCAGCATTTCGATGAACTGAAATAATCTGTATTTGAACTTTACTGTACTAGTTCTCACAAAACATAAATTATTAGTTTGGGGGTTTTCATTATTATTGAACTGTGAATATTCACTCAAATAAATACAAAATAAAATAAACATTAAGGTGCAGCATTTCGATGAACTGAAATAATCTGTATTTGAACTGTACTGTACTAGTACCTAAGCAGCCAGTTTGACATTATGACTTGCTTGTCATTGTATTTTCATGTTTTTTTAAAGAAAAATTAACTTGTCCACATTGCTTGCCGAAAGGGCAGATCTGCTGGCACTAACAATGTCTCCTGCTGTGGAGAACACCCTCTCGCTGGGGACAGAGGTAGCGCTTTGCTAACATGGCAACATAAGGATATTTGGCGTTTGTAATAGCTTTGGCTCGGTCTGAACTTTTTGCGAGTGGTGGAGGCTTAACTGCTAGTGGGAGTTGGGTTTGCACTTCAGTCTTTTTTTCTTTTGGTACCCCGGTGACATTCACGTTCGGGTGATGCCTTTTCAAATGAGTGTGCAAGTTTGACGTATTGCCAGCCGCGTAACCAATTTTAGTTGAACAATGCCGACAAACAGCTTTGGTTTGGTCCACCTGTCTTTGTCCGTCATCCTTTTACGTAAATGCGAAACCAAAATGTTCCCAAACCGGAGA